AAAAAAAAAAAAAAAAACGTGCAAACACAAAGCAATGTTTATTTCATAACCCCATACAACACCATGAAAAAAGCCAATAAAACCACAACAAAAAYGATATGCAGTAGATAAGAGTGGGTTAAAAATAATGTAGCAATGCAGCATTTAGGGGGAAGAAAAGGGTGAAATTGCTTTGCTGGCTCCTTGGACATTGCAAATACTATTACACTGTTTTGTGTGTCAGACGAGAGAAGCCACATCATTTTACATCACAAAATAAATGGGAAAGTCTATTAAAAAGCACCTTATGGAGACAATTTACCAACATGACACAATAAGGATGCCTTACTGAGAAATCAGATAACATGTGCATACTACGAGCTGCAGAGAAAATAAACTGATGAGGTGGAAAAAAACAGAAAACGAAAACTACAGAGACGCTTGTCAGCATAATTTATTCTAAATAATATGTTCAACTGCAGAATTTTTAGAATGAATGAACATCATTTCTCACAAAGCTCTCCTGTACGACGTTTTGCTACAGTCTGCCAGAGGCCGTTAGGAACCTTTTGCGCTCTATATGGCACAATCATGCTGCTGTTACCCCACTGGCCAAACTGTTCATGCTTGTCAACCCGCTCTCCTTTTCCACAGTGTCACACACGGAACTTACCTTCCAGCGAGGTAAACAGTCTTTGGGCTTCCAGAAGCCTCCTGGGGCCATGCTGGGCTCTCGCTCCAGCGAGGACCTTTCGACGTCCTCCAGAGATATTTCACTCATGTTCACCTCCAACCTCCCCTCTTGAGTGTGGGAGAAAAAAAAACAAGTCAAGAGATTTTATAAGGGCAGAAAAGGTCAATGTACAGTGACGGATGAGTAGCATGGGAAATACAGTATAAGACTAGCTGTTACAACAGGTTTGAATTCATTTCAAAATTAAATAAATTTGTCTGTTAATTTCAACAACAAACTCATTGAGGTTTTTTTGTTGTTGTTGTGGTTTTGCAATAACTTACTCATTGAGGGCAGCTTCTCAGGGCAAACCTGCGAAGGGAGGTATGTGAACCCCTCAGGGAGGTATGTAGTGGGCGGAGCGTCGCTCTCACTGAAGTTGAAGTCATAAGGATAATCTGCAATGACACGAGAGCAGGTATCAGTATGACATCACCAGGAGTTTACTTTCCATTTTGCTCTGGGAAACTCGGCTGAATGTTGTTTTGCTTTGACACAGATATTCTGCATCTGATTCATTATCATTGATCATTAGTGTATGCTTGTTTTTTTTCTTATATATTTTATTTGATTTACCTGTGCCATTGATGCTGTAGGCCCCTCTCACTTGCTCCAGAACCTGAGCTCCAATGTTCTTAACGTTCTCTCTGATCTGGATGCCCCTGGCTTGAACCATGAATACATATTCATTCACTGTTAAAAGAGGGAAGAAGAAAAGCAAGAAATAAAAATCACATTTTAGTATTATATGAAGAAATAAGGAACTGATTTCAAATAAAAAAGAAAGAAGTTTCACTTCCTCTGTCATAGTAAGCGGTGATAGTGCAGAAATTCAGGGGTGGGGTTGGGTGGGGGGGTGGATCCACCTCATTTCACTTTCACTCCTATGAATGAACAGTCTGGGCTAACTAGAACCAGTGCTTACAGAAGCAGGTTGATGCATACTGAGAAAAAAACAAACACTTTCTCTTAAAATGGGTATGACTCAATTATGTGGAAAGAAAAAAAAACTTCTTAAGAAAGCTTTATTTATAAAAAAAATAATAAAACAAAAAATACTGGAGGATTATTTCTGATGAAGACAGAGAAAAGAAGTAATTTGAATTATTTGAATTAACTGATTGATCGGTGCCTTTTACACATGATAGCATTGCTTTGTCTTCAGATGAACTACCGTTTCCAGCCATTAGCTACTGCACTGTCAATAATGGACTATTACTTTTGATACATTTGCTTGTAATGGGAAAATTTGAAAGGGCATATATAGGATGAGTGCAGAAAAAAAAATACATCAAWGCAGCCGAGTCAAAAGAGGAAGCAGTAAAAAGCTTTTTAGAGTATTTCCATTTCTTAGACCTCATAATAAGAATATGCTATGCTTTACATCCCAGATAATGTCCAGTGGATCTCATCTATCTCACTTCAGGCTGGTACGTGGACAACAGTTGTGTTCGTTTGGAAAACAGCTCTCACTGGTAATGTTTTAACAGCTTTGTGAAAGTTCTGCTCAGTGTGGGTTGACCTAAATAACACAGGAAGAAAGGTTAACCTGCCAAAGAGGAGCAGTGCAGTGGAAAAATGAGGGGGGCRGGGGTAGGAGGTCTAAATATGAATCAGCAAATGACTTGAAAACACACACATTAATTCCATTTAGTRGTTTTTATGTGTGTGCACTCTAAAAAGTTGGGGTTTCTGTTTGATTAGCATAGCAACATATGCAAGTTTCTGATGTTATCAAAGAGCAAAAGTAAAATTCCTGAGATACAATAGTTGACAGGATTACTGAGGATTATTACGTCTGTTTTCTTTAGTTGGATCGACACAGTGCAGTCACAATAATGAATCCCTGCCTTTATGAATCTGATCGTACAATCACTGGACACTCAATCAGTCAGCATTCAACCTAAACAAATCCAAATCTGATTCACATTCTTGGAAATAATAAAAGTGTCTGAGAGCATGCTGCGCGTAAGTATAATACTGCTGAGCCAGAAATCTGCGGGATGTGATTTGTCATTTGTAATTGCATTACAGTTTCCATCACATTCATCTTATTTTATACTTGCTGCCAGGCTTGCAGGACTACAGACTATTGGCTCCAAGCAGTAACTGAAATCAATGTTCACGTTTCACCTCTGCAGCATGTAAATACTACAAGTGCCACTGTGGCAAATCAGCAAAAGATGATAATAAAAAAAAGGAGAAATCATGGAGCTGGTTCATTAACACAGAGGATGTAAAAGATGAAGCAACTGGATGAGAAACAAGGGAAAACCACAGAGCAGGTCTGGTTCACAAAAACAGAAGAGTGGAAAAAAGATAAAAAAAAGACAAAAACAAAACCACATACACAAAAAACAAACAAACAAACAAACAGACAAACAAAATACCCACATACACAAATGCCGATGCCTTCTGAGATACCATATGATGGAAACATGCTAAGAGGCATCTGGAGTATGACCCAGGGCGTGCATCGACCTGTTCTGACATGAATCGTTTTCATGCCTGCCAATGGAGATTCATATACAGCCCTACCAGGGAAGACACGACCTATATACATACTCAACATTTATGTGCAATACTTTGTCAAAACACTTTAACATTTGCGGATAAAACACACACCAAAAACCAACAAAACTAAGCAAAAACAACAAAATCGCAGTTTGATAGTTGCTGCAAAATGTATTTTTATATCTTGTGCTCACTCTCCACAAATCGGCTCTTTCAAGTGGCAGAAAGTGGCAGCTTCATCTACTGTAWACAAGGCAGCGGGCATGCAATTCGTCTCAGATTAAACATGCTCTCCAGACTTGGGAGTAATGGTTTTTGCTGACGTATTCAAGGCAACAAACTGTGACAAATGCAATGAGACACGAGAGACCTGAACCTTGAAGGAAACTAACATAATAGGCAACAACACAAGGCTGCTCACAGTTGACATATCAGCAAAGAAGCGGCTTGCTCGTATACGCAAACATATGGATATAGGGTTTTGGTGCTGGGCAGCAACTACAAGATAGACGKATAGATTGGAAAAACCAACCTACTGTAACCCGTCAAGCATAACAAAAGACCTTGAACAACCTTGTCTTCTACAGCTCCCACAGAACACGCTGTCCACATGCCAAGCCCAGCCCACCTCTTCCTCTATCCCGCTCTCTTTCTCCACATTATTCCCTCTTTCCACTTATCTGTATTTCCCTCCATCTCGCTCTTCCTTTCTGTATGCTGCTGTCCCCGTTTAATGTGCTTTGAGTCACTTTCTGTCCAACCCGTTTGTTCTTATCGTTTAAGTAAATAATCTGAATGATGGATTGCAGGCTCATGGGAACAACTCCAGGCAAGGACCCAACCCAACACTGTACTTAATAGAAAAAGAAAAGAGGCAACAAACAAGAAAAAAAAGGAAGACATGCGCTATCTTTCTGCTTGTACTCTGCAAGGCAATTAACTCAGCATTGATAGCTCAGCAGTGGGAGGTGATCTGTCCCATTCTGCTGGCTTCCTGATAAGAGCTGAAAGGCATTTTTTTATTATTATTTTTTTTTCTTCCTCACAGCAGAAATGATTTCTGTAGGCACGCACAGCATACTTGCTCTCATAGCTTCAAGGGTTTCTAGCTGTCACTCTCAGAGAGGGTCAGTTTAATGCCACATTCTATCAGTGACACCCACAGATCCACATGTTCAGAAAGATAAATCAGAGAAACAGGGGCTACACGGGCACACACTCATCATCGCTTATTGAATGCTGAATGTACAACACGCTAGTGTAATTAATTCAGCTGCCATCTACACTATCAGAAATGTAACACATTACATTGCCTACACATGACTTAGCGGGTCAATTTCAATACCTTATTGAAAAGCAGGGACGTTATTACTTGAAGTATTAACAGCAAATCCCTCACAATTAACTGCTACAATGGCTGCAATCTGAGCAAACTGATGTGCTAACGATGCGAGGATTGGCATGTAACGATAATTTAAGCTGACTTTTTCAAGCAGAAAATTTGTGCATTTTATTTAAATGAATATTGACTTTTAGCTGAGAGGATCAATCATGTCATTACCTCATCTGACCTCTCTGTAAGTGATGCCGGGAAATCCACAGGCTAGAGTGATCAATGCTCTAATGCAGTACAYTTTTGGTCAATACAAAGCACAAAATAACCAAAGATGTTTTATTATTCCTTCTACCTAATACATGTCCAACTCCAAAAATAAAAATAATTTTCAAACATTTAGATTTGATGGTATATTTACTGCACAAATACTTCACCATTGTTTCAATGTTCTTTTTGATAGATACATWATGTACTGAATGAAATGAAAAAATTTCCCCCAGGGGAAAAACTAAATACTGGTATGTTTGATTGGACATATATAAACAATTCATAGCAATTGATCAGTCTAACATTATGACCATTTGCTTTTGCTGTCAGAAAAGCTCAGACTGATGAAAACAAGGACAAATGATGTTTGAAACGATCTTTAGGTGTCTAGTATGAAATAAGCTACTAAAGTTAGTAAAATTTGKTCTCTGTTAGTTGTCTAATCTGATGTGGAAAAACCACAAGAAGCTTTTGTAGGGCCAGTAAATGAGGCAACACAAACGTTTAGGTGGGTAAAATGTGTCAATGCAACAAMTGGATACTTGAAACTGATGTTATCCTTGTAGAACCCTTCATAGCAGCAGCAGTGCTACTAACCTTACCTATCAGTGGTAATGCCTCAWCAGTTTGGGAGAAAGAGAGACACCTAGTTGTTGTTGTTGTGTGTATGTATGTGTGTGGTTTTCTGTTGCAGATCAGATGACTAAAACCGTGTGTCAAACATACAGGGGTTACTAGTCTTGCATCATGTTTGCCAACATCAGACTTTATTAACCGGCACTCCCTTTCTACACAAAGTGACATCTCATCTTGACCTTTTATGTCTCATTTCATTGTCATGTGGAGGTTTAATATTGGCCATCACCAGTGATTCTCTGAGTTATTTGAGTACTTCTGAGAAGGATGCAAATGCTTTAGAAAAGTGATGTTTACAGGAAGGCTTTCTGGTCAAATGCTGAGCAACTGGGAAACAAATATTCCTGACTCTGAGACAAGWATGTGTTTCAAACAGTTCTGCTGCGATTCCCTCTGATGTCAGGAAGTTTTATCGGCTCTGCTATTTATTAATGTTTGACTAGCTGATTAATGACAGTGTCGACTACAGTTTTGGTCTGGGGGTAACTTCAGGTTATGTACACAAGTAAAGTGGAATTCTTTCCCAAGGGAGCATTCTGTATTTTTTCAGAGACACACACTAAGTAGCCATAACATAAAAAGCACCAACAAACAAGTGACCATCTTGATACAGCCATTTATTTTGCTGGGAAAACCTAGGCCCAGACATTGCAAAAGTTTTTGTGGGGCTACAGAACAGGAATACTAGACTGTGGCGATGATATGTACTATGAGTGTTTGAGAGGAGTTTCAGCTTCTTGGCAGTCATGACAAACACTCGTGTTCTTTGAATATTGAAATGCCAGTTTAGCTCCCTTCCTGAAAGACACAGAAATGAGCACAAGCAGCTGCTGCTGATTATGAAGACAATATTGGTCGAATGCAAGTTATGGTCACATGATATTCAGTCATAAGTGGATCAGGAGGATTCCTCCAAAACCACAGCTGCACTGCACACACA